GGAGGCCAAGGTGTGTGGATCACTTGAGCTCAGGAGTTTGAGACAATCCTGGGCAACATGGGGCGCTCCCATCTCAATTATAAAAAATAAAATAAGTTTTAAAAAGTAAGAAAAGAGGCCAGGCACAGTGGCTCACACCTGTAATCCCAGCACTTTGGGAGGCCGAGGCAGGTGGATCACGAGGTCAAGAGATCGAGACCATCCTGGTCAACATGGTGAAACCCCATCTGTACTAAAAATACAAAAAATTAGCTGGGCATGGTAGCGTGTGCCTGTAGTCCCAGCTACTCAGGAGGCTGAGGCAGGAGAATTGCCTGAATCCAGGAGGCGGAGGTTGTGGTGAGCCAAGATTGCGCCATTGCACTCCAGCCTGGGTACCAAGAGCAAAACTCCATCTCAAAAAATAAATAAATAAATAAAGTCAGAAAAGAATGTTTGTAAGGCCAGTCCTCTGTCCAGTCGGAGTTGTAGTTGTCTGGCTTGTAAATTAGTTAGGAGAGGTCTGATCATTTGCCTGATACCTCCTGTTGTTAGAGAGTTTAACCAGAACGCGGTTTTTCTTGTAGCCATAGGAATTTAGGGAGTTGCCACGCCAGCTGCATTGAACCCTGTAATTAACGTTTGTTTCCTTAATCTTAAGCTTTGTCTTAGTGATAAAGGGTATGTATTTTGGTCTCTCAGACCATATTAGCAACTCTGTTTAAACATTACTTTTAATGGCTGCATAATATTCCAGAAGGAGGATACAGCATAATTTACCTAAGCATTTCTCTGTTGTTGGACAATTATCTTCAGTTATTTGTTGGTTTAAATAACACTGCAAGGCCAAGTGTGGTGGCTCACACCTGTAATCCCAGGACTTTGGGAGGCTTAGGTGGGCAAATCACGAGGTCAGGAGTTTGAGACCAGATTGGCCCACATAGTGAAAACCCATCTCTACTAAAAATGCAAAAAATTAGCTGGGTGTAGAGGCGGGCGCCTGTAATCCCAGCTACTCAGGAGGCTGAGGCAGGAGAATCGCTTGAACCCTGGAGGCGGAGGTTGCAGTGAGCTGAGATGGTGCCATTGCACTCCAGCCTGGTGGACAGAGTGAAACTCTTTCTCAAAAAACAAAAAATAATAATAATAATAAAATAAAAATAAATAAAAAATACTGCAATGAGCATTTTTGTGTACAAAGTCTTTTCTGTATTTAGGATTCTTCAAGACAGACTATCCAAAGTAGAATTCTGGGTTCTAAATAATAAATATAGAGATAGATATTTATCAGCTACATTATATTAAATTCCATATGTTCTTAATATAAAAATGAAATGAGGTGAAAAATAGAATAACTTATAACTTAAAAATTACAGGTGCGGTGACTCATGCCTGTAATCCCAGCACTTTGGGAGATGGAGGTGGGTGGATCACTTGAGGTCAGGAGTTTGAGACCAGCCTTGTCAACATGACAAAACTCCATCTCTATTAAATATACAAAAATTAGCCAGGCATGGTGGCAGGCGCCCATAATCTCAGCTTCTTGGGAGGCTGAGGCGGAAGAATTGCTTGAACCCGGGAGGTAGAGGTTGCAATGAGCCAAGGTTGCACCACTGTACTCCAACCTGGGTGAGAGAGCAAGGCTCTGTCTCAAAAAAAAAATAAATAAATAATTTTTAAAAATTACAATTTATACATTTAGAAAGGAGAATTTCTCATTAAGGGTTGCAGCCTGCAAGATGCCAATTTTGACAGGCTGGGAGCATAGCCTCCAGCTGAAGCCACTAGCAGGTACTTGAAAGGAGAAGGGCCTGGGACAGGAGCTTTATGCTGAACAAGTTGGCTAAACATACATATTCAACAGGTTATAGGAGGATCTATGAATATTCATGAAGGGGATACTAACATTTGCATACTGAATAAGCATGGATGTTACATATGACCCATGCTCACCTTGGGGCAGAGACAACATTTAAATGTTGGCTAGGCATGATGGCTCAGGCCTGTAACCCCAGGACTTTCGGAGGCCAAAGTGGGCAAAAGCCTGGGCTCAGGAGTTTGAGACCAGCCTGGGCAACATAGTGAGACCCTATCTCTAAAAAACAAAAAAACAAAAAACAAAAAATTAAATGTATTACAATTAGGCCCTATAAGTCAAAAGGTGAAGCAGGGGCAGGAAGGCATTCAAGTGCTCAGCCTCTGTAAACAGAATCAATGGTCCATGGTCAGTGGTCTTCTTCTCAGGAAAAAGTTAATGAAATCAGACTCTTGCCTAGTCAAAGCTGTAGTTATGGCTTGTGGAATGGGGATCAATTAGTCAGTGTCTGGCGGTGGATGGGCTGTAGTTGTTTTTAATATTACTTATCTCCAGCCCAGTGCTTGTTTATCTGTTAGAGAAAAAGAAAAACTTTGTGGCAGTTAGAACATAGTTCTTTTCTTTTCATATATATATATATATATATTTTTTTTTTTTAGAGACAGTTTCACCATGTTGCCCAGGATGATCTCGAACTCCTGAGCTCAGGCAATCTGCTGGCCTCAGCCTCCCAAAGTGCTGGGATAACGGGCATGAGCCACCTCGCCCAGGCTTTCTTTTCTTTCCTTTTCTTTTTTTTTAAGAGACAGGGTCTCACTATGTTGCGCAGGCTGGTCTCCAACTCCTGCACTCAAGCAATCTGCCTGCCTTGGCCTCTGAAAGTGTTGGGATTATGGGCATGAGCCACCATGCCTGCAGAAAACATACTTTATATTGTTTAAGTGTAGGAGTGTGTGACAACCCTTCCCTGCCACGACCGTAGGTCCTGATTATAATTTGGTATCTTATTGCCACAAAGAGTGCATTCTGTTAGTCTTTTTTTTCTTTGAGACAGAGTCTTGCTCTTGTTGCCCAGGCTGGAGTGCAATGGCACGATCTCGGCTCACTGCAACCTCCGCCTCCTGGGTTCAAGCGATTCTCCTGTCTCAGACTCCCGAGTAGCTAGGATTACAGGCATGTGCCACCTCACCCAGCTAATTTTGTATTTTTAGCAGAGTCAGAGTTTCTCCATGTTGGTTAGGTTGTCTTGAACTCCCGACCTCAGGTGTGATCCACCCACCTGGGCCACCCAAAGTGCTAGGATTCCCTGTGTGAGCCACCGTGCCTGGCCTATGATCTCTATTTTAACATTAATGCTGGTCAGATGCTGTGTCTATACTGCAAAAGGGAGGGAGTATAACCAGGCTTGTCTGACCTCCTGAACTGTCATGTCTGGAAACTCAATTATGAAGTTTTTTCTGGAGTCCCCTTGGCCAAGACGGGTCCGTTTAGTTAGGGGGCTTAGGATTTTGATTTTAGTTTACAAGAGACATAAGCCTGTTAGGGGCAGACAGGTTTTCAAAGCATGAGTGTTGACAGGAACTTAAGCAACAAAGAGATAAGTTTAAAGTGTCTCTTTCTCTTTCTGCCTGGAAAGCCAGAGGAATTTGTGTTTCCTCCAGTGAGGGTGGGACAGAGGAGAGAATGGTGGGCGGGAAGGAGAGGTGGTGATTCTGGAGGAGGCTAACCGGTGCAGGGCCAGTTAGAAAACCTCAGCTAGGGGTGTGAAAAGGACTTTTAAAAACTTCTGACCAGGAGCAGTGGCTCACGCCTATAATCCCAGCACTCTGAGAGGCAGATCACCTGAGATTTGCAGTTCACCTGAGACATGGAGAAACCCTGTCTCTACTAAAAATACAAAATTAGCTGGGTGTGGTGTCGGGTGCCTGTAATCCCAGCTACTTGGGAGGCTGAGTCAGGAGAATCGCTTGAACCCGGGAGGCGAAGGTTGCAGTGAGCCGAGATTGCGCCATTGCACTCCAGCCTGGGCAACAAGAGCAAAACTCTGTCTCAAAAAATAAAAAAGGGAAGAAAAACTTCTGATGGGTAAGTTTAAACTGTTTGCTATCTATCATATAACCTGCCCCAGGGCCCAGAGGACCCTAATGTCTTTGTACTCATGAATATTTTGTGTGGGAAGAGGTGCAGGCAGTCCTCAGGGAGAGCTGAGTTTCCTTTCCAGGCTTGTGAACCGTGGTACAGCAACAGCCTGGCAAAAGCAGAAACAGAGACAGAAATAATTAAGAGAATATAAACCCCCAGATAGTTGCAAAAATGTTAAGAGAGGGTCTTTGATTTCCACAGTCCATTTTGACCTCAATCTCAGAAGGCAAGGAGGTTGACATCTAAGTTAGAACTATAATGCACAATCATTTCAAAAAGTAGGGGAAAAAAAGAAAAAGAGAGAAGCAGACAGAATGAAAAAAAAAAATCATTCATCCCTCCGAGGCATGGTGGCTCACATCTGTAATCCCAGCACTTTGGGAGGCTAAGGTGGGAGGATAACTTGAGTTCAGGAGTTAAGACCAGCCTGGGCAACATGGCGAAAACCAGTCTCTACTAAAAATACAAAAAATTAGCCGGTTGTCGTGGTGCACCCCTGTAGTCCCAGCTACTCAAGAGGTTGAGGTGGGAGGATCACTCGAGGGAGGTAGAGGCTACAGTGATCGTGCCAGTGCACGCCAGCCTGGGCAACAGAGAGCCAACCGGTCTCAACAACAACAACAACAACAACAATTCACATCCAGACTGGGTGAGGTGGCTCACTTTGGGAGGCTGAGGCCGGCGGTTCACATGAGGTCAGGAGTTCAAGACCAGCCTGGCTGACAGGGCGAAACTCTGTCTCTACTAAAAATACAAAAATTAGCTGGGTGTATGGTGGCGGGTGCCTGTAATCCCAGCTACTTGGAAAGCTGAGGCAGGAGAATCGCTTGAATCCCGGAGACGGAGGTTGCAGTGAGCTGATTGCACAATTGCAGGCAGGCAGGGGCAACAGAGTGAAATTGTGTCTCAAGAAAAAAATCACACATCCAGATAGCTAGGGTGTGGCCTGAGGAGCTTGTGGCCTACAGAAGGTGTCCCCAAAGGGGAGGGGCGGGGTAAGCTTTAATGATGATGGAAAGGAGGCATTGGTCATATACCTGAGTCAAGTTTTGTTCATCGCCAGATGAAAGCCAACTTCTTCCACCAGATTGCCTCCCAGCTGCTAGGTAGCATTTTGTGGTACATCTCAAGCGCCAGGTTGGGATAATAGGTCCCTTTCAGGTCTTGAAGACCTGGGTTAAGAAGTGAGGACAGAATTGTCTACAACAATAGAGAAGATGTTACCTATTTTAGGTGAATAAGCGTATTACGTAAGCACATGGGAAGAAAGGTTAAGAAGTCTAAGACCGTTAAGTTTCCAGTTGTAAAAGCCTCTTGAAAGCGGAAAGCCCTTTTTTGAAAAGTACAGGCGGTATGATCTCCTCTAGTGGACCTAGCACTGGGTTAAGAGTCCCTCCAGACTCGTCACCGCAAGTCACGTATCTTTTCTAGGACTGTTTCTTCAATGGGAGATGAGGAGGTTGCACTAGATGACCTCGAAATTCCCTTCCAGCTTTCAATTTCGTCTTGTGACACTTGCTGGACTCGTTTTACTGGCCCTGGCGCTCCTCGGCTCCTCCCTTCCCTGCTGTGCCCGCATCCCGCACCAGAGGGCGCCGCAGGAGGGCCCGGGACAGGGTGAGGTGGGCGGAGAGGCAGAATCAGAGGAGCCTCCAGGAGGCGCGGTGATTGGCCGCCGCCGGGCGGAAGGGGGCGTGGGGAGGGAAGGGCCGAGCTGCCCGGTGACGTCGCGCCGGCGGGGGCGGGGCCGGGCCGCAGAGCTTGTGACCCTGCGGCCGCCGCTGAGCTGGGGGTTAATGGGAAAAGTTTTGGCAGGAGCGGGAGGATTCTGCGGAGCCTGCGAGACGGCGGCAGTGGCGCCTTAGGCAGCCGGGACAGGTCAGTCCGAGTCGGGGGAAGCGGGTAGGCAAGCGGTGGCGGGAAGCGGCGGGCCCGGACCGAGGCAGCCCCCAGGACTGGGGCGCAAGGCCCGGCGGCGGGGAGCGGGGTGCGGGGTGCGGGGAGCGGCCGGGGTCCGCGAGCAGCGTCGCGGCGGCTTCCAGATGCTCCGGCGCGGTCCGATCAGCGGTCGTGCGTTGCAGTGCAGGCGCCCCGCCGCCTCTGTGCCCCCTGCCCTTGGACCCCCATAGCTGCTTGAGTGAGTACGAAACACTGGCCTCCGTCCACTCGACTCTGTGCCCCCTCTTGGACCTCGTGGCCCCGTCTCCTCCTACTTATGAGAACCCCGTCAGGCCCGGGGGGCCACTCCCATTTTTCTCCCCTGTCTCTGACCTCTTTCTTCACCCCTTTCTGGTGTTCCCTAATCTGTTGCCCTATCTAGGGTCTTCTCGGGGATCTTTTCCTCTGTACCCCTTGTCTCTTGCCTTCATCCTCCCATCCTTGCTCTCCTTCCGCATCCCTGTCCCCTTCTTATTCTGTGTCCTAGTCCCTCCAATATTATGGATCCCCATCCTCTTCCCCAGGGTGTTACTAGACTTTTTCCAACTCCGTGCCTGCAGTCCCTGTCTCCCTAAGCCTCTCTTACCTTGGCTCCCTGAGAGGGCCTGTTTTTGCTCCTCTTTCCGATTTCCTTCCTAACAGCCCTGCCCCCTGCATTTCTGTCGTCCACCTTCTTTTCCCTCCCTGTTCCTTTCCCCTGCTTCTGGGAGAAGCGTTAGCTTTCACTTGACTCTGCTTTCACTTGACCTGAGGTTGACATACCCATGGGGTGGGGTGGAGGTGTTCAGACCTTGATCGAATTAAGAGGCTGACTGACTCAAGGAAATAACAGATATATCTGTGTGGGAGAATTGACTTGGGTATTGCGTCAGAGATGATGTCCAGTTTGTGGGCCATTCTTCTCATCTCAGCTTTAATACTTCCCCTTTATGGGCCTGTTGACTTCCAGGGACCCTTGGGGAGAGACGGCGCTGAGTTGGATGTGTGCCACGGGAAGCTGGAGGCTTTGTCCAGTTCTTCTCCCCTTCCAGGAATCAGGGTTTTGTGTCTTTCCACTCTGGATGTATGGAATACGTTTATACCACGATACCCCAGCCTCTCTCTGCCCTCACTCCCACCCTCCACCCTGAGCTCCATCCCAAAGGGCTAAGAGCATTCTTCATAGCTGTGCTCCAGAAAATGTTTGTAGTCCTCAACCTTTTTCCTCTGTGCTGGCTCCAGAACTTTTTTTTCCCTGTTTGAGTTTTGAAATAGATTGCCGGCCTGATAGCCCTGGGGCTGGCGGGCATCTGTCCCTTTTATTATTGGTGGCTTGAAACGGCTGCTGATTTTCTCTCCTATCTCTTTGACAATCTTTGACCAACTGAATGTGCCTCTGACGTTGGTCACTGAACATGTTCTCTCGGAGTCTCTTCTCCCTCTTTTTCTTTATTCTTTTCTGAATCTAGGGAATCCAAATTCTCCCTATTTTTTTCCCCTGGGAGCTTAATTTCCTCTGCATGCAAGAGGAAGGGCAACCCCAAAGTTCTGTTCCCTTTGTCCAGGCATAGTGTGAGGTATCAAATTGAGAACTACTTGGGAAGGATGTGGGACTGCAGTAGTTAGACCTTGTCAGGAACCTGACCAGGCATATCTGCTTCCGGTCATGTAGATCATCTTCTCTGAGGCTCGAGAGCCCACCACCTTCCTGGTGTGTCTGGACGTTAAACTTACCAAGCAGAAAATTCTCTTCATATCCTTCAGTTTGAGCTCCTTTATTTGGTGTTGGTTCTCTAAAGAAATCTCTGAGAAATAATATATCCTTTGTTAAGTCTTCAAGAAATAACATATCCTTTGTTTCACTGGGTAACCTATCTTCTGGAGAGATTCCCCCTATCCTATAGGAAGGTGATTAAGGAGGCACCAGTCAGCCAGCCAGCCTTTTCTTCTGTTGCAGTGTGGAGATCAAGGGGGAGGTGATCCTAGATGCCCGAGTCTCCTTCCTCACCACAGCTGCTGCGATTTTCCTAGCTGGTTTCAGCATGATTACATTGACCTCTCTCTTCCTCGGTCTCCTTACCACCTCCTCAGTGTTCAACTTCTATATTCCTTTCCAACTGCAGCCTCAGCACTCACCTGGTCATAGCCATAATTGTGATTTTCTTTGTGTGAAATAAAGTCAGTCCTAAAATGAGATAAGTAAAAAAAAAGATTTTATAGAAAAAGAATTTTTAACATTTTTATTGGTTGTCTAAGCTATAGTAGTTAGGAATTGTATTTAACCTGACATAACAGTGGTTTAAACAAGACCTTTATTAAGTAAAATAAACCAGTAGTAGGCCAGTCTAGTGCTAGTGGAAAGAGTCCTTAGTCATCAGTGACCCAGACTCATTCTGTCTTGGATCACCGTATTACTCTGTATGACTTCTTCCCTCATGTCACCTCATAGCCAAGATAGCTGCAGTTATTCTGACTCCACCTGTCATTTGTAATCCCAGCACCAGACCTGGGGAGAGAGTAGAGGATAAAAAGGCCCCTTTCCAGGTTAGCAAATACCCTTTTCCCACACAGCTTTCCCCAATCCCATTCTAATATTTCTATTTAGATCTTCTTAGCCAGATTGGCCACCTGGCCACGTCTTGCTTCAAGGGAGAAGCTAGGAAATGCAGTCTTTTAGCTTGAGCCTATTGCTGGCCCAAGTGAAATCAGAATTGTTATAATGGAAGAAAATAAATCAATATTGTGTGGCACCTAACAGTATCTGCCACAGCTGCTAATCAATAAAATCTCCCTTGAAGACATGGGGAGATTCACTCCGGATAAACTCCACTGTATCACCAATGCCAGTTGCCTTGCCTTGTGTATGCCATCACCTCTCAGCTTTCTGTGGGTTCTACATCCCTGGATTCAACCAATGATGGATTGAAAATATTTGGGAGGCTGGGCACGGTGGCTCACATCTGTTATCCCAGCACTTTGGGAGGCCAAGGCGATCATGTCACCTCAGGTCAGAAGTTTGAGACCCGCCTGGTCAACATGGTGAAACCCCATCTCAACTAAAAAGCCAGGGGTGGCAGTTGCCTGTAATCCCAGTTACTAGGGAGGATGAGGCAGGAGGATCATTTGTACCTGGAGGGCAGAGGTTGCAGTGAGACAAGATCACGCCACTGCACTGAGGCCTGGGCAACATGGTGAAATCCCATGTTTACTAAAAATACAGAAATCAGCCAGGTGTAGTGGTGGGTGACTAATTCCAGCTACTGGGGAGGCTGAGGCAGGATAATCACTTGAACCTGGGAGGCAGAGGTTGTAGTGAGCCAAGATCACAGCACTGTGCTCCAGCCTGGGTGACAGAGGGAGCCTCCATCTTAAAAACAAAAACTCCAAAAAGTAAAACTTGAATTTGCCGCATGCCGGATACTACTGTTGAACCCACATGAAGTAATGTATAGCCATTGTATTAAGTATTGTAAGTAATCTAGACAGAATTTAAGGTTTCTGGGAGGATGTGTGTAGGTTCTTTGCAAATACTACACCATTTTATATTGGGCATCGAAGGATTTTGGTATCTGAGGGGGATCCTGTAAACAATCTCCCATGGATACTAAGGGATGACTGTAGTAATGGCTCCATAAATAACTGGTGAATGATTGAATGATCAGAATGTTTTGAATTCATCATGTCTGCTATTTTTCACATTACAGGTAAATAGAAAATACATTAGCACTTAGTTATTAGCCAGCAGCAGGGAAATGGCCACACCCCAAGCACCCCATATGGACTCAAAAGTTATCTTGAATTTTGACACTGTGTATCCTTGCTGCTTAAAGTGGCAGGAGCTAGCTATAAAGGCAGAATTTGAGGCTCCACTCCAGATCTGTCAAGTTAAAGAATCTTTTTTTTTTTTTTAATATGGAGTCTCACCTTGTTGCCAGGCTGGAGTGCAGTGGCGTGATCTCAGCTCACTGCAACCTCCGCGTCCTGGTTTCAAGCTGTTCTCCTGCCTTGGCCTCCTGAGTAGTTGAGACTACAAGTGTGGGCCACCACGCCTGGCTAATTTTTTTATTTTATTTTATTTTATTTTTTAGTGGAGATGGGGTTTCACCATGTTAGCCAGGATAGTCTCGATCTCACTTCATGATCTGTCCGCCTCAGCTTCCCAAAGTGTTGGGATTACTGATGTGAGCCACTGTGCCAGCCTAAAGAACCTACATTTTAAACAAGTCTAGGTCATTTGTATGCACGTTAAATTTTGGGAAGCTTTATCATGCGTTTTTAAAACATACTGAACCAGAGAAATATTTCTTTAAAATTGTATCCTGTACTCTCATTAATGTAGGGTGTAAGAGAGAGAAAAGGAAGAGAGACAGGAGGGAAGGGAGCAAAGGAAGGCTTTCTTCGCTGCCTCTTAATTTTGCAGCTAGTTTGGATTATGCTTTCAATAATTATGCTTTTAATCCCTGCATGGGATTAAAAAAAATAAAAAAGCATAGTTAGTTCCAATAGTTATTCTCAGAATGATAACTGAGGAGAGAAATGTATTTGTCTTAAGGTTTTGTTATTAAAGATTTCTCTCTTGTTATGATAAGGGATGCAGTGGAGACTGTCTTTCATTGTCCACGGACACATCTTCCCCTTCTGTCCCTCCTTGGGGTTCTGCTGGCTCCCCCAGGCCTGACAGTTGGGAGAGAGGGCCGGAAGGTGGAAGCCAGAGGAACAGGTGGCAGAATTTTTCCCAGGTGCCTTAGTGCACCCCCCACACACACACACCTTTGCCCTGTTGTCAGGAAAGTCAAGCAATTAATTGCCTAGCAGGAATTGCCACTAAATGTAATTATCTCAGGTAGTTGCGAGACTTACCTGTCGGGGTTGAGAGGTTTTAGCCCACAGGCCAGAATTTTTGATGCAGGAATAAAAACCGGATTCTGCTCTCTTTTTGTAAGGTTTCTGGATAAATGGCAGAACAGGAGAATTTTGCAGGTTTTGGCATAGCTCAACACAATAACTATTACAGCTACTGGCAAAGGTGAGCAGTTTTCTCCTTTGAAGGAAAAAGAAAGCTGTTACTGTTCTATTTGCTACATAACTGTTGGTAACTTACAAACAATGGCTTTGAACATAGGTGTTCAACTTACTGCAAACTTCCTGGAAAGAAGTCGGGGGGTTTGTGAATGATTCTGTGTTGGTTGGTGATGGTTGTCATTGCTGTGCTCTCCCCTCTGCTATTAGAGTGAAGCAGGAGTTCCAGCCCATCCAGGGTTACCACTGTGGCAACTGGTACGTGCAACAGCCCAGCTCTTACCTTCTTTCTGGCTACAGCTACAGCTGTGCAGTGGATGGAAATGGACAGAACTGTTTTTCTGCATGTGAGACCCCTCAACACACAGCTGGAACTTTGGTTATGCCTAAGGTATCCCTTGCTTGAATGAATCGTGTTTCATTCATGTGCCTGATAATAGTAAACATCACTTTCCTATCTTCACACATTATTATCCTCTCATCCAAATTCCCACAGCCACGGCTTTTGCTGCCTGTTTTAAAACTAGAGAGTAAAGCTGATGATAGCCTCAGACAAACGTTTGTTCAGCTTTACTGCGGTGTACACTTGATACCCAGAAAGTCTCCTGTACACGTTTAATTTTTATGATTTGCTGAGTTTGGACATGTATAACCTGTAAGTTCTCACTTGCAGATAATTTCTCATTCTCTTCCAGAAACAAAAGGCTGATGAAGTCTTTGTCTAAATTCTTGCTACTAAATTTTAGATGATCATAATTCAATAAATTTTACTCTTTAATACTTAATATAGGACAAAAAGTAGTTTTGGGGTTTGTTTTATAGCAATTAGATATAAACACACTTTAAAAAGATGTTGTAATACTTTGAATTACTAAAGCGACATATTTCTCAAATCACACAAAGATGTATTGAAGTCAGGGAAAAGCTCCCCCCACACCCCTCCTCCTTCCCCACTCCCTTTCCACTTAGAAGAAAGTACTGTTGGAGCGGATGTCTTCTAGATCTTTCCCCTGTATTCTTGCTAAAACAGCACGGTTTGTCTTTCTGTTTTGGTGGTTAGGGGATGATTTAGGCAAGAGTGAACTATGTAGTACATACTGTTTTGCTCTTTGCTTGCTTCTGCATAAGGAGACCTTTCTTTAAAAGTTGCCCATTTATGGTCTGGGCAAAATGGCTCACACATATAGTCCCAGCTACTTGGGAGACTGAGGCGGGATGATCACTTGAGTCCGGGAGTTTGAGGCTGCAGTGAGCCATGATTGTGCCGTTGTACTCAAGCGTGAGCAACAGAGTGAGCTCATTTAGATACATTGTGATTTTTAGCTCATCCCTTATCTGACATTTTAAATATTTTCCAGACTTTAACAAACTTACTTATCTTCAAGCATTTTTCTGAGTGTTGATTTTTTCCCCAAGAATTTATTTCTGAATGTGGAAGGGCTGGATTAAAGGATGTAACATAAAAATGTTTAAATAGCAAATTACTTAAAGTCTGCAAGAATTTGTACTTTTCATTACTGTGGTGGGTGTTCTTGCTACTCTACATTCCTCTCTGTATATGATTGGCCAATCTGATAGGCCAGGGAGGCATTTATCTATTACCGAGGGCAAATACCTCTTGAAGTGTTTATTGGTATCTGTGTTCTGTGACTTTGATACCATCTTTCTAGTTTTTCTGTTGAGTTGTGTCCCTCTTGCTTGACTGCATAAGATATTCACAGGTTAGAGAAATTAACAATTTTTGCTCTAAATGTTATGGACATCCCCCACCCTAGCTTTTCTCCTAATATGCATAGTGACACCGTTTGTGTGATGATCTTTGCCTTAAAACCAAAGTTGAATTTCACATCTAGACCCTTGACTTTTAAAACTTACATTTGCGAGATTGAATGATCCAAGATGGCCGATCGCTAACATCCCGGGATTGTAGCTCTCAGGGAAGGCGCAGAGAACTAGAGGACGCCACACTTTCAGACAAAGTCTGGTCGCTCACGGAGCAGAAGATCCCCCAGTGGTGGAAACACACGAGTCGCCAGTGCGACTCTCGTGGTGGGCGCAGCGGTTCCGCCGGCACCTCGAGGCGGCAGCGCTGGGCGCAGAGTAAACTACTACGGAAACAAGAAGGAAGCCAGACAGGAGAATCCTGGGCAGAAAAGCACCATCAGTTTTAACGCCGCTGCTCTGGCCCTGGGAACTAACAACCTGGACGTCCACTCAAGAGACCTAATCTGAAAGTTGGTAATTTCAAAGACGACAGGAGGATAAATTTACAATGACGGGAAGAAACCAGCGTAAAAAAGCTGAGAATACTCAAAGTCAGAACGCCTCTCCCTCTAAAGATGATCACAGTTCCACATCAACAATGGAACAAGGCTTGATGGAGAATGAGCGCCTCCTGATGACAGAATCACTCTTCAAGGAATGGATAATAACAAACTTCGGTGAGTTAAAAGAACATGTTGTAGCCCAACGTAAAGAAACTAGGAACTTTGAAAAAAGGTGTGATGAAATCCTATTGAGAATAGACAACTTAGAGAGGAGTATGAGTGAATTAATGGAACTGAAGAATACAATACAGGAACTCCGAGAAGTATGCACAGGTTTAAACACTCGAATTGTTCAAGCAGAAGAAGGGATATCAGAGGTCAAAGTCCAACTTAATGAAATAAAACGTGAAGAAAAGATTAGAGAAAAAAGGATAAAAAGGAATGAGCAAAGTCTCCAAGAAATGTGGGACTATGTGAAAAGACCAAATTTACGTTTGATAGGTGTACCTGAATGCGACGGAGAGAATGAATCCAAGCTGGAAAATACCCTTCAGGATATTATTCAGGAAAATTTTCCTAAACTAGCAAAGCAGGTCAACATTCAACCCCAGGTAATACAGAGAACACCACAAAGATATCCCTCAAGAAGAGCAACCCCAAGGCACATAATCGTTAGATTCACCAGGGTTGAAACGAAGGAGAGGATACTAAGGGCAGCCAGAGAGAAAGGTCGGATAACCCACAAAGGCAAGCCTATCAGACTTACAGCAGATCTCTCGGCAGAAACTCTACAGGCCAGAAGAGAGTAGGGGCCAATCAATATTCAACATCCTCAAAGAACAGAACCTTCAGCCCAGAATTTCATATCCAGCCAAACTAAGCTTCACAACTGAAGGAAAAATAAAATCTTTTATGAACAAGCAAGAACTCAGAGATTTTATTACCACCAGGCCTGCTTTACAAGAGCTTCTGAAAGAAGCATTACACACAGAAAGAAACAACCAGTATTAGCCTTTCTAAAAATATACCAAAAAGTAAAGAGCACCAACATAAAGAAGAATTTACGCCAACAAATGGATAAAACAGCCAGTCAACATCAAATGGCAGTAACCCTAAATTTAAATTGACTAAATTCCCAATCAAAAGACACAGCCAAAACCCAATGGCATGTTACATCCAGACCTGTTTCACATGCAAGGATACACAAAGACTCAAAACAAAGGGATGGAAAAAGATTTACCAACCAAATGGAGAGCAAAAATAAATAATAAATAAATAAAAAGCAGGAGTTGCAATTCTTGTATCGGATAAAATAGATTTTAAAGCAACAAAGATATAGTGGTAAAAGGATCAATGCAACAACAAGAGATAACGATCCTAACACCCAGATAGGAGACTTAGATTCAATGAGACAGAAAATTAATAAGGATATCAAGGACTCGAACTCAGATCCAGAACAAGTAAACTTAATAAATATTTATAGAGCTCTCCACTTCAAATACACAAAATATACATTCTTGTCAATACCACATCACACCTACTCATAGGTTTAAATGAAACACTGATTGGCCATTATTAATACCCAATTTTTTTCAAAATAAAGCAATATTTCCATTTACTCTCCCTCTTTCTCTTCCTCTTTCTTCCTCTCCTTTACTTATTATTATTATTTTTTTTTCTTTTTCTTTCCTTCTCTCAAAAAAAAAAAGAAATCAACTTGTAAACCTCTAGATCCAGGTCGGCAATGTCTCTTTCATTGCTTGATTTCCTTTCTTCCCTTCCCTCCCTCCCTCCCTCCCTCCCTCCCCCCCCCCCGCTTCCTCCCTCCCTTCCTTCCTTCATCCCTTCCTTCCTCCCTACCATCCTTCTTCCCTTCCTTCCTGCCTTCCTCCCCCCCCCCAAAAAAAAACAAAAAACTTACATTTGCTATATATTATGGTATTTTACTGCCCAAACTTTCATTTTCAATTTTTCTCAGGTCTGTTCTAGGTGTGCCTCTTGTATAAAATATGTTAGATTTCTTGTCATTTATTCCCCCCTTTTGGCCCAATACGGGTTTTTCCCTTTTAACAGATGTTTGATATTGAAGCACTTAAAAAAATATATTTCACCACATTGCCTGAGGTTTTGTCACTCTTTTTTTTTTCTTTCGCCTCTTCCCTTTTTGTTCTTTTTTGGGAGATGTTCTGTTTTTGGTGGTTATCCTTCTGTCTTTAAATGGAGAAGTATAAGAATGAGTATATTACCAACTTCAGAAGTGAAAGTATTTGTTGATTTTTTATCACTCATGAGAAAAGAACATCCTTTTTTTCTCACCTGGCTACTCCTTCTCTCCATTCCTCTGTCCATTTTTGTGGGCACATCCTGAGATTTTTATCTCACCCTCCAGCGAAATTATTACTGTAACATGCATTTTTTTGTACAAGAATTATATAAATATATTTTGTGGTTGTGGTGACCCCACTGTGCCTTCTGCCTGCCATCCTGCTGGGTGTTCCCTGTTGGGAAGCTGCTGAGCAAAACTAAAGATGGGAAGGCTCTGTGGTAGCGCTCTTTCACTCATCCATCCCCATTTTGTTCTCTAATAAAACGTGTATTGCTGAGATGTCCTAGCTTTATTCCCTGCTTCCCCCAATGTGCTATGCCTCTTTCCATAACCTTTATCTCCCCAAGTTAACGGGTTACCCCTCTGCAGCCCTCTTCTTTACATTTTGGCATTGTGGAGGTGGGTGTCCAACATGATTCTCAGGTCTTTGTGGCCCATCAGCACACTTTCCTAGACTATCTCTAGCTGAGGAAAGACTTATAAACGTGCTTTTCTTCTTTTTTTTCTTGAGATGGAGTTTCGCTCTTGTTACCTAGGCTGGAGTGCAATGGCGCGATCTCGGCTCACCGCAACCTCCGCGTCCTGGGTTCAGGCAATTCTCCTGCCTCAGCCTCCTGAGTAACTGGGATTACAGGCACGCACCACCGTGCCCAGCTAATTTTTTATATTTTTAGTAGAGATGGGGTTTCACCATGTTGACCAGGATGGTCTCGATCTCTTGACCTCGTTATTCACCCACCTCGGCCTCCCAAAGTGCTGGGATTACAGGCTTGAGCCACCTCACCCAGCCTATAAACGTGCTTCTTTTTAAAGGCAGTCAGCTGCATACACAGTGCCAGTGACCCTCAGACTAGAAAGATTTGGAGACTATCTGTCTCCAAATAGTTGCTGCTTCCCTCACCCTGGTTATTTAGCATCCACATTTGCCAGAACGCATATTGAAAGGAGGAAAATGTGAGGTTACTTAGTCTTGTATTATTGGAAAGGACTTGTGGAGGCATGGATTCTGGGTGTCTTAGCCATTTCTTTCTTCCCTTATATAGAATTAGTTTTTAGAGATGATGTCTTGCTCTTTTGTCCAGGCTGGAATGCAGTGGTACTATCATAACTCACTGCAGCCTTATCTCCTGGGTCTCCTGCCCCAGCCTTCCAAGTAGCTGAGACTATGGGCTGCATGCCACCACGGCTGGTGTCTTAGCCATATCTAAATACAAAAATGACACAGATTGTCTTTTGAAATTTATGGTAACCTATTTTCCAAACCTGTACATATTTCAGAGTGAAGGGGAGACATACTTTCAGATAGACCGAAAAGGAAAGATAGTGGATCTTTGACTCTCAGTACCTTCTCATTCTTATTAGCAAGGGAAGCTTAATTAAGTGCCAGGAGCTAGATCAGCCCTTCCTTGATAGAGTGATTCCTTGGAAGAGCTAGCCATACTTAAAAAGACAGGTTCCCAGCAAGTCTATAGCGGAATCGTAAAAATGTATGCTGCCCCCGTAGATCCAACAGAGTCTGGGTTAACCAACCAAGAGTTACTTTGCGAGTGCCTCTGCAGTTCACTTTTCTCATTATGTAAGAATATGATTGGTTTGCTTTGCTGTAGCCTCTCATTTTCTTGAGCACCTCATATCCTGGTTCTTAGCTGAGCCATGGGTTTTGGGGATATGATTAGAGGGCCATGAGGAAAATGTGCTTATGGAGACTTTATAGATTGTATTCTGGAAGGAGGAGCAGAACTCCAGGTAGAGTCAGGCATGAGTACAGGAAATAAGGAGCCTGATACCAGGGACCCTGGTGTCTGGTTCCTAGCTCAGGCTCTAGTTAGGTCCCAAAAAATCCAAAGGCCAGAGGCCCCTGTTAGGCTTGCTGCTCTTTTGTAACAATTCTTCTGTGACTCGGTTTACCTCTTTCATAATTGTACCATGTCACCTAAAGATTCTTTCCATCAAATTCAGAATCTGATTTTAAGGGATTAATTTTCAATATTATTTTTATTTTAGATAGTATTTTTAGAAGCTAGAGTTTTTCCCAATAAAGTATGTATTGATATTTAACCTTTAAGTAAAATTATTTTCTCATGAGATCCTTTTTTGCAGGAAACCACAGCTCTAGCTGAAAACCAAGATGAAGACCCACTAGAAGGTAACATAAACCTTGTGCTCAAGTGGTTGAAAACAAAACCCCATTTCCTGGTTTCTCATTCCCTCTGCTTGCTGGAAACCGGGAGGTTCAACTGGAAAATTCCCATGTAGGTTGCCTAAGCCATATTCTTCAGTAATTTCTCCTGTTTTTGGAAACTGGTTCTATGGGAACAACTTTAGCCAAACTACTTCTTTGGGCCCTTCAGAAGGACTGAGAAAGGGGGATGTTCCCAAACAGGAAGAAGATAATACGTTGCTTTTAAGCACAATTTCCTCTGTAAGTTTAGACTTTGAGGTAAATTATGCTTTAATTCTGATTTTCAAGGGAGAAGAGCACCGAGAGGATTGCTGTGGCCTCAGGGTTATTGGTTCCTGGGGTGCTTGTCAGGACAGCTCCTTAGTATCAGGCTGGTGGTGCTTCCTGTAGTTCTGAATCTGTTCTGAAAAGAACAAAGTTTGTCTGCCTGGAGACAAACACTCTGAATGTGTCTTATTTGAGGAAGGGAAGAAAATGTTTTGCCACTTTTAAGTAATAAGAAAGAAAAATAGAGGAGAAATTCGGAGAACGCTATTGTCTTTTTCTTATCACATGCCTGTCTTATCACATGTTCTTTTTATCTCTCTCTTGATCAAACCCCTTCCCCTACCAGACAAACCCACCCACTGTCTTTGTGACTTTATCAAGAAGGGAGCATGTTGTTATTAGCCTTTGTAGCCCCTGTGACTAATTCAGAGTTCACATATTGGTAGGTGCTCAGTGTTTAAATTAAATCAAATTGATGTTGAAATCTTTAGATACTGGTGAGCAGTTCTAGTTTTTAGTACTTTGATTTGAGTATGACTAAAGGGTGCTTATTTCAGCTTTCTGGGATTTTTTTCAGGTTAAGTGTGAATCTCTCTTCCTGTCTTTATCAGTTATGCAGTTTATTTATTATTATTATTATTATTATTATTATTTTTTGAGACGGAGTTTCGCTCTTGTTACCCAGGCTGGAGTGCAATGGCGCGATCTCGGCTCACTGCCACCTCCGCCTGCTGGGTTCAGGCAATTCTCTTCCCTCAGCCTCCTGAGTATCTGGGACTACAGGCATGCGCCACCATGCCCAGCTAATTGTTTGTATTTTTAGTAGAGACGGGGTTTCACCGTGTTGACCAGGATGATCTCGATCTCTTGACCTCGCGATCCAGCGGCCTCGGCCTCCCAAAGTGCTGGGATTACAGGCGTGAGCCACTGCGCCCGGCCACAATTTATTAAAATTGATGCAGGATTTCTTGCTCCTTAGTTCAGCTAAATCTCTAGGTTCTTGTCTTATGACCAGGAAAAATTAGGCATGCGGACACATTGAAGGGTGAGGAGGAGGGAATTTATTAAGTGAAAGGAAAGCTCTCAAGAAAAAGAGGGATCCTGAATGCAGGTTTCTACCTCACAAATTGAATACCCGGCCACTACACACAAGTTGAAAAGGCCAGGCTCCTCCCCTGCATAAGGCATGAATTCCTGGTGGTTCCACCCCATTCTTCCAGTGTGCATGTGGGCCCTTAGTCTGAGCCACTCCACATTGATTTATTTCCCTTACTGTGCATGTGTTAAGCGACGGAATTTTTCACCATGGGCATGTTTAGGCAAATCCCCTGTGCACAATGACTTGGGCAGGTTGGAGGTTCTCCATGGACCCTTCCCTATTTGCCTAGGCATTTGGGTCTTTTCTGCCTCTATCAGAATAATGGAGGTAAAAGTTTTCTTTTAGGATGCAGACTGCCAGGGGATTCAGATCCCACCTACTAGCTCTGTAGTTCTAGACAAATTAATCTCTAGTGTGTCTGCTTCACTTTCTGTAAAGTGGGGACGTTGATACCTATCTCATAGGAAGTGTGGGCATGCCAGGTCTAAAGTACTTTTAGGTGGTTTAACAGTTTCTGCCATATGATAACCACTCACGTGTTGGCTGGTCATAAATCGGGCACAGTACTGGTCAGTATAAATGTGAACTTCTTAATTAGGTCTTGGTAAATCTGTTTAAATCTGTTGGCATTTCTCAACGTGACATACGTTCTTGGTGGCAGGATATAGCTCAGAAGCTTGAGGCAGGAGGGAGACATGTTACCGCAGATAATCCTTCGTGGATCAATGAGTGGTGTTAATAATAGCAGTGTGGGAATTTACTTATGTTCTTTTCCTGGGTTTTTATGTAATTGATAGGAGATGGCTCCTAAATTCTTTCTAGGGGCAAGAATAATTTTATAACACATTATTATCTGAACAAATGAAATCAACTTATGGCAAATACTTTTTTCATAATTAAAAAATAAAGTGTAAGTTCTTTTAGGCTAACTGATGGAGCCATGGTGCACACGTACACCTCTGGAGGGCCTTCTGGAATTAGAAAAGATGAGGGAATTTGGAGACCATGAAAAGTGGAAGGCAATCAACCCTTTTGGTGCCTAACTAACCTTAGACATTCTTCTATTGTTTCTTATTCCGGCCTTAATTGACAAGGTCATTGGACTTTGTAACCAATCTTGGTCAACTTTGTAACCAACTTTGGTCAACTTTGTGACTCCAGACCCTAAGACCCCCTCCCAGCTTGCAAAAGACCACTCTAAACTGTAACTTCTGTAACTTTCCACTGCCTACTGCAAACATATAAAACTAGCTTCTATCCCACTGCCCTCCACTGACTCAGCCTGCCCGCACCCGGGTCAATAAACAGCCATGTTGCTCACGCGAAGCCTATTTGGGTGGTCTTTTCATTCAGAGCGTGCGTTTTAACATAAAGTAAGTATGTTTTAAATAAGGCATCCTGATCAGGATGTAAAATAGGTACAGTGCTCCTGAGCATGTGTTTGAACTTTGTGGATCCATTTATTTGCAGATTTTTTCCAGGAAATATATTGGAAATGTTTTTTGAGATTTGCAATCATTTGAAAAAACTCAGCAAACACAGCCTAGAAATATTGGAAACATTAAGAAATTGTAAGGTATGTCACGAATTCAGAAAATATATGTAGATACTAGTCTGTTTTGTAATTTACCACCATAAAATATACACAAATTTATTATAAAAAGTTAAAATTCATCAAAACTTGTGCATACACTTATAGGCTGTATATGATGCCATTTGTAGTCGATAGAAATATATAAACAAATGTAGAAATGCAGTATTGAATTATAACTGCATAAAATTAACTGTAGTAACACCATACTACTGCAATAATTTCTTAGCCATTTCCTGTTGCTATCGCCGTGAGCTTAAGTGTTGCAAGTATTCTCTTAAAATGCTGCATGCAGCATTTTGGGAGGCCAAGGTTTGTGTACCGCTTGAGGCCAGGAGTTCGAAAGCAGCGTGGCCAAAATGGCGAAACCCCATCTCCTCTAAAAATACAAAAATTACCTGAGCATCGTGGTGCATACCTGTAATCCCAGCTACTTGGGAGGCATAGCTTAAACCCAGGAGGCAGCGGTTGCAGTGATGGAGATAAAGCCACTGCACTCTAGCCTGGGTGACAGAGCGAGACTTCATCTAAAAATAATAGTAATAATAAAATATGAAGTGTGATGCTAATCATTTCCCTGTGAGCAGTTTCTCTCCCTGGTCAATTTTCTATCACACTAAAAGGTGATCTCTTGAAGTTCTTGTGTATTTTCATCATGTTTGGTGCAATACCGTAAACCCTTCCTAACCCAATGGAATGCATATGAAATATCACTAGTGATGCTGGATGTGCTCCCAAAAAGCAGAGGGAAGTCATGTCATTACAAGAAAAAGTTGAATTGCTTGATCTGTACCATAGACTGAGGTCTGAACTGCAGTCATCGCCCTTTCAACAGATGATTCATCTTGTAAACAGACCACAACAAACTTGTATTACTGATAAATACAGCATAGTACTGTAAATGTATCTTCTCTTCCTTATGAGTTTCTTAATAACATTTTCTCTTCTCTGGCTTACTTTGTTGTAAGAATACAGTATACAACGCATGTAACATACAAGTACTTGTCAATTGACTGTTTATGTCATCAGTAAGGCTTCCAGTCAACAGTAGGCTACTAGTAGTTACGTTTTTGAGTTGCTGGAGGGAGGCCAGGGAGGCAGCTGACGCTTCGATAGCCACACAAAGCTTGTCCTCTAGTTGAGTGGCTGAGGTGACACTGTAGCCTAGGGCGCCGTTACCCAGCTCGGCTGCCACCAGAGAGGATGCTAGAGAGAGACCAACGACCTGTGGGAGGAAGACTGCTCATCTGTCTTGGTGATTAGGGGAGGGTGGAAGGAGGGATAGAAGTTCGGCCTGTCCATATACCTCTAACTGCAGGACCAAGGTGACAGGCACGCAAGGGAAAGGGAAGGAGGCATTAATAATTTTAGATAAGGTTCCATTACACCAGAAATATCCTCTTGGTGGTGCGTAGAGGGAGGATTTTACCTTTACTTTGGTGTTATAGCTGGGACTGGAGCTGCTGGCTGTCTCATGGCAGAGAGAAATTTTGAGGGTGTACTTGGAACAAGGGGATATCTGTTAAGATGGTGCCGGGTCCCATAGGTGATTGTGACAGATTGAACCCGGACCTGAGGGGAACTGCAGCTAAGGGGGGGTTGCTGAGAGAGGCACATAAAAAGCAGTTGGTGAAATTCATATCTTTAGTTAAATTTAACATGTTGGCTCCCTGCTGTACGAGAGTCAACCAAGAGAAAGACTGAGAGGTGTTATCTGAGGGTTTGAATTGGTTAGTTAGGATGGCTTCATTTTACAGGATTGTATGGCTTACAGAACTGAGCTGTTCTATTGCTTCAGAGACAATGCGGGTATAGGACCGAAATATTAGCCATGTTCCCTGAGGGTGGCTCGAGGTATAATCTTCACAGACTTTACCAGACACTCCTGTATCCTAACGGATGTGCCAGGGTCACAGATGTTGAGGGCTAAGGAACCATTGCTGAAGTGAGCGAGCTTGTGGTTGGGACAGCTTGGAGGCTGTGGCTTGTGAATAACACAAGAGCTGTATGGGCATCCCCCCATAGGTGGTGTGTCCCACCAATGACAGTAGTCCTTGGTTTGGTCATATAGAAAACACAGCTGAAAGTGAAACCCATGATTGCGACCGAGTATGATGCTTTTACCATGTGGGATGAGGATGGAGACAGTAGACTGACAGCTGCCTGTTTGGCAGTTTGCCTGTGCAAGATTATGAGTCCTGGTCGTGGGGCCCTCAGTCCAGGATACCTGGGTTGCAAGGATCCTGGTTTGAGCTCTTGGAGGAGAACGCTGTCACCCGGCTGGAGAGGTGCTGCCGGGTGGAGGTCCTCTGGTCCTGGAATGACAGGGAGAGTGCAATTGGCGTGCTCCCTGAGTGCTTGGCGGAGGAGAGAGAGAAACGAAAGGTAGGAGGCCAGTGGTGGTGGTCGCGCAGGGAGATTATAGGAAACCAGGAAAGGCCGGCCGTACAGCAATTCGAAGGGGCTCAGGCCCGTTGGCCCCCATGGGGTGGTCCGGATATGGGCCAGGGCAAGAGGTAGGAGTGTGGGCCAAGAGAGTTTTACCTCAATAGCAAGTTTGGCCAAATGGTCTTTGAGGATGCCGTTGGCCTGTTCAACTTTACCCGATGACTGAGGATGGTAAGGGATGTGTAGTATCTAGATGTTGAGGGACTCGGCAACGAGCTGGACTACTTGGGCAGTAAATGCTGGACCATTGTCCAACTGGATGGTGGCAGGTAGGCCGAAGCGAGGGATGATTTCTTGTGTAAGAAATATCCCTAGCAAATAATTGCCACTGTGAAGGCTAATACCATATTCTTTGGTTACTTAAAACCTAAAGTCTTGTTATCTTTAGGCTTAAAAGAAATTTGTACTTGTAGTTTTTGGAGCAGATTTCTCCCCAACAAAGGAACAGGGCAGCTGGGAAGATATAAGAACTTGTGCCACACCTCTTGCCTTCCAGTGACATATTTTGATTGGCAAAAGGATTTGTTTTTGTTCATTTTTACCTGATACTCCTATAGCCACAATAGTAGTAGTGTAAGACAGTGACCCACCAGTTTGGATCATATGCCACCACTAGGTATTGCATGGGGGTAAACCGCATGATCTTTATAGACCGTTCTCCAGTCTGGGCCAGGTTTTAGACTCTGGTTTAGCTCTATCTTTTTCTTGCTCTCTTGCACGTCCTCCTCCATCCTTTCATTATCCCCGCTTTTCTTTCAACTAAGGCAGGTGCTAGTAAATCTGCCTTTTCCTTTGCCTCACGCCTTGCCTTCTCTTAGCCCCGGTCCTGTGCAGGGAGGGCACAAAGCAGCAGAGTGTCTGCAACCCACGTGCCACCTTTCCAGTGCTACTACAAAATTTGCAAGAAGCAAGAAATGGTCATTTATCAGAATGATACATTTATTTTTATATTTTTTTAATATAAAGTGCTGCAGGCTCCAACGTTGCTCCTGGGCGTCTCAGGTTTCGGGCCTTCGTCCTCTCCAATCTAAATGCAGAGACGTTTGACATGAACATGTTTTGCAAAATGCGATACGTTCTTATTGACTCTGGTCACCCTGCTGTGCACTAGAGTCAAAACCTCTTCCTCCTGTCTAGACTTTGGTCCTTTGACCAATACCCCCCCATTCCCTCCCTCTGCCACTCTCCGGCCCCGGAGATTTGCCAATTAAAACAATACTAATCAAGACAGAATAAATATAGTAAAATGCAAGAAGTGCGGCTTCACCGCCCACCTACTTACTTTTTCTCTTGGGTGGGCCCTCTTACTCTGCCTCTTGGGTGGACAGAGGCAGCAACAGCATCTCCTTATTATGGCAATGCACCTTCGGGCAGCCCTGCGGCAGCTCCAGCCTCTTGTTGGCTGGGTCAACACAGCCTCGGGCTGCCCAGCTTGGAGGACGCTGCCTTCGTGTCCTGGTTGTTGAGCCACGGTGCTCTGGGTGGTGATCTGGGTGGAGGCGGCCGTGAGGTTATGCGGGAGGGCTGGTTGAGCCAAAGTTTCTAAATTTTCACTGCCGGTGGAGCACTTGGTGGAGGCTGCAGACACGAGGTCACGCTGGGGGGCTTGCTCTGCCAAGGTTTCTAAAGCACCACCACCGCCTATGGCGCTTACAGTGGAGGAGGCCACATGGTCACACTGGAGGGCTTGCCGTGCCAAGTTTTCTACATCTCCACAATTGCGCTCGATGGTCAGGGAGGCCGTGGGGGCATGCTGGGGGTCTGACTTCCTGTGAAGGCCGGCAGGTGAACTGGAAATCTCAGTGACTAAATATGTAGGATCCCCAGGAGCAAGAGACTGTGGAGTAGTAATGGATGGCTTTTTTTCTCCATCTAAAATACGGTAGGTGGCCATGGGATAATTAAAGACGTTGTCTTCGATTGCCTTTACGATGTTTTCTGGCTTCAATCCCATGGCCACCGAGAGCCTTATGGTCTCACAGTTCGGGTGGTCTTCAATCGGCTCTTCATACGTCGCTGGAGGCAAGTCCTGGCCGTTGTTCACCCACGGGTCCCTCAAGACTTTGTCTACTGTCGGCCGCTCATTGGGATTAGATATTAAAAGGTTTTTAATTAGGCTTTTTAGGCCTTCTGAAAAATAGTGCCGAATAACATACTGGCCAGATAGAATGAGGGATATCAGTTGGAAACGACTCACTGCGAAGAAGGGCAGACTGTTGGACACCATCTGGTATAACGTGACGCCTAGGCTCCATATGTCCATGGCGGGACATTCATAGCCCTGGGCCCCAAAGAGTTCTGGGGCCATGTAGGGGAGGGTCCCATGACCTGCTCTCAGCCTCTGCCCCTCATGGTAAATCGTGGCTGATCCAAAATCGGAAATTTTGATATGTCCTTTACTGTCTAACAGCATGTTGTCAGGTTTTAGGTCTCGGTGAGCGATTTTTCTTTTGTGGAGGTACCTCACGGCAGACAGCATTTGTTGGAACATGCCTCGGGCCTCCTCCTCCTCCATGATGTTTTTTTCGAGCCAGTCGGCCAGGCTTCCTCCTTCTGCGTATTCTAATACCAGCTGGCACGCCTCTCTGGTATTAATGATCTGGTAAAGCCGAATGATGTTACTGTGGCTCACCGACTTTAAAATAGTCGTCTCTCTGTGGCTAGAGAGGAAGCCGGTTTTGTTGATTGTTTTCACCGCCACCCGGGTGCCAGTTATTAAATGCCGGGCCAGCGTGACCTCGCCAAAGGCACCACGGCCTATGAATTTCAGTATTTGATAGTAAGGTGGCCGCAGGGCAGGTGAGGTGGAGGCCACTCCCTGCTTCATGGTATCTCTAGATACACTATCCAAGTAACTACTCTAACTCTACAGTAAACAACACTACTTACTATCCCAAATACACTAAAACACTAAGCAATACTAACTATATTAACTATGCTAACAACGCTACCCAGAAAAAACAACGCCCCTCCCACAAAAACTCCCCCCACCACCCCAAACAACTCGTAATCGCTAAGCTGGTCTGAGTCCACAGGTCACCAAAAAAGCTTCCAGGGATTTCTCAGACCAAAAACCATGACCCAGCCAGGGCCTTATATAGGCCTGTCTGTTATGACATCACAAAGGCTTTTCATGAGCTCAGAGCAAAGCAGGGGCCAATCATGGCTGGGGATCTTTCACAGAGGTGTTCTCTCTTTTGGTCCCCAAAACATCTTCCTCTTTTAAAAAGTAAGTGCTTTTGTCTAGATGGATTATAGAGATTGATATTTCGTTTCCCAGCTATTTAAACTGGTACAACGCTTCAACAGCATTTTCATTTGTAGTTTCTTTTTCTATATTTATTGTACTCTTAAGTTCTGGGGTACATGTGTAGATTGTGCAGGTTTGTTACATAGGTTTAACGTGCCATGGTGGTTTTCAATCATTTGTAATTTCAAAATCTGAAATAGCTTTTGGATTTTGAAGATCTCCTAATGTCTACATGCAAAATATTCAATTCCTTTTCTTTCATCTCTCAATGGTTGATGTCAACCATTGAGAAGGGAGAGAATATTTTCCTTTCCTTGTAGGGTTTTTCCTTCCTCATGTGGTTGAGATTATGTAATGGACACAGAGGAAACAGACATACCTTACCCTCCATGAGCCCATAGCCTCTTCAGGAAGGCCCCCCAGCCATGAAGCTCCTTCAGCGTGAGAAGCATCAGGTGAAGTGGGGCCAGAGAACAGTGGCCTGGGCCTCAGGTCAGCGCTGGTGAGGGAAGAAGTGGGGCTTTCTGGAGGCCAGTGTGCTGAGCCCTGCGGTGTGAGGAGGGGTCGCCTAAGTGAGTAGGGACAAGGGCAGGAGGGTAGCCTCTGTGAAGGCCCAGGATGATCGAGGGTGGCTCTCTGGAGGGATGCACTAGTCTGAACGAGTGACAGGGGCCAGGTTGGGAGGGATTGAGTCCCGCTGCTCACAGCACCCCCCAACCAGTCTACATCTCTGCAGCTCTCTCACCACCCTCCCTACTTCATTGATCTCCATTGCACTTAGCAACATCTGACATTTGCATATTTCACTTGCATATTTCTTTGTCAGACTCTTGCATATAAACTTCAGAAAGCAAGTGTTTTACATGTTTTATTTACAGTGGTATCCACAGTACCTAGACAATGGATAGATACATAGAGGACACTCGACTAATATTTCTAATATTTCAATGAATAAATGAATGTTTGAATGAGAAGAAAACTCAGTATCAGAGTGAAACAAACAAGAAATTACTAAAGTGAATTGATGAGAGCTTTTTGGGGGAAATTTCCTCGTTCCTGGGACGTGGCGTGTGCACGTACACACAGCCAAGTAAATGCTATGGTGAAATTAGACTTACTTTCTTACATCTTCAGGCTGTCTCATAAAGTATTTGAGACTCTAGGTTTTTAGCAATAAACTTGCTGATGCAGCTGAGTTATAATATGGCAGAATGGATTTGGGCACTAGTGTTATGCTTGAAATGTAACAATGCGGTTGGTTTCTAAAGGAGTAGTTGGTGACATGGTGAAATCACTGGTTGCCCCGATAGGATAAGGCCACCAGCCCCTGTGATCTAGCCATGTTGATAAGGATAAGGATTCCACCCAGCTGTTTTCTTTAGGGAAAACCTGGCTATCTCCCTATAAGAGCCTAAAGAAACAGTACAAGCAGCCACCATTGCACCAGCCAGGACTGCTCCTGGAAATGCCATCTCCCACTGGGCAATAAAGGACTCCACTTTTCTCAGGATCTGCCTGTGCCCAACCCTTATCTAGAACAGAAAGAAACCATAACCCATAATTTCCCCCGAGGATTCCAACACCTCCCCACTCACTCCCCTATGAGTCTCAGGAAGACAGGTTTGTTTTCCTGTGAGAATCCGTGTCTCTTTGCAAAAGGTCTGTTTTCCCAAAAGAAAAGGAATTTGCTTCAGTTCTGCTTCTGGAACTAGAAAGCCAGGTCTTCACCAAACTAATGTACAAAGGGATAAAGTCACAGTTGCCATGACCTCAAACTGACATCAACAAATACTTACTGGGTGTAGGACATTGTGCTAGCTGCTGTGAGGGAAGAAGAATGGATATCTTTCCAAAGATCTTAAAAGATACACACTCATTTTCCATTAAAAACTAATTACTTGGCCAAGCATGGTGGTTCATGCCTGTAATCCCAGCACTTTGAGAGGCCGAGACAGGAAGATCCCTTGAGCCCAGTTCAAGACCAGCCTGGGCAACATGGTGAAACCCCATCTTTACAAAAAATACAAAATTTAGCCAGACTTGGTGACTTGTGCCTGTGGTCCCAGCTACTTCAGATGCTGGGATGGATGGATCACTTGATCCAGGGAGCTAGAGGTTGTAGTGAGCTGAGATTGTGCCACTGCACTCTATCCTGGATGACAGAACAAGGCCCTATCTCAAAAAACAAAATATACTAAGCACTGAGCTCTGTGAGGTTGTCAGTATCATCAAGAGGCTTAGCTTTGTATGAGCTCCATTCTGAGAACCTGGGAGGGTTGAGTCTGTGCCAATATCCTGCTGTGCCGCGGGATGGAGCCAAGCCTTGACCTTTTGGGTTGCCACCAGAATAAAGCTGCAGATAGAAAATGGGGGGAAGGGGGGAGTGGAAGAAGGAATCTCAGAGGGGAAGAAAGGACCTCCAGCTTCAAATTGAGACAATTTTACAAGAAACGTAATGAAGGCTATGCACCACATTCAGGTGTATTCCAGATCAGGGGTTGGCAAACCGTGACCCACCCCAGCTTTTGTATGTACCGTTTGATGGGAAGGCAGCCACAATTCATTTTTTTCTTGTTATCTATGATGCTTTTGTGCTTCAGAAGTAGAGCTGAGCAGTTATGATACATACCGTACGGCCCAAAAGTTAAAACTATTTACCATCTGGTCCTTCACAGAAAACGTTTACCAACCTTTGGTTTCGAACATGAACAAGAGTTCTGCCAGTCTGACGTGTACTTTTGATCAGACGAGTAAGGTTACTCCTGGGATTTCCAGCTGTTTCCTTCCTACCTATTCCCCCTCATTGAAATTGCCTGTAATTCCCCCAGCTCCACTGTCCTGTAACATTAGGCCGAGAGATGGAAGGCTGTGTGCACTTGGAGCTACACACATCTGTGCAGTGGGTTACATGAAGGGGAGATTAATACCAGCTTCCTTTTTTTAAGACAGGGTCTTGCTCTGTCACCCAGGCTGGAGTGCAACGGCATAATCATGGCTCATTATAGCCTCAAACTCCTGGGCTCAAGCAATCCTCCCACCTCAATCTCCCGAGTAGCTAGGACTACAGGCATGCACCACCATACTGGGATAATTTTTAAATTTTTTTCTAGAGACAAGGTCTCACTGTGTTGCTCAGGCTGGTCTGGAACTCCTGAGCTCAAACAATCCTTCTGCCTTGGCCTCCCAAAGTGCAGGTATACAGGTATGGGCCACCGTGCCTGGCCAACACCAGCTTCTTTAGAAATGAAAGACCATGTGAATACATGTTAAGAAAAGCAGTTTCCTGTATTCTTCTGTAAACATTGAGAATTTATTTTATTTTTCCTCCAATGGCCTATGTGTTTGATCAATAATCACAGTAATTTTCATAACATTGTATGGTTTGGCATGACATAAGTAAAAATAAACCCAGAAGCCATCATTCTCAGCAAATTAACACAGGCACAGAAAACCAAACACCGTATGTTCTCACTTAGAAGTGGAAGTTGAACGAAGAGAACAGATGGACACAGAGAGGGGACCAACACACACCGGGGCCTGTCGGAGGTAGGGGGCGAGGGGAGGGAGAGCATTGGGACAAATAGTATTGTAACCGAGGTTTAAAACCTAGATGATGGGTTGACAGGTACACCACACCACCACGGCACACATGTATCTATGTAACAAACCTACACATTCTGCACTTGTATTCCAGAACTTAAAATAAAAATAGCTAACATGTATTGAGCTCTTACTAAATGTCAGTCCCCATTCTAAGAGTTTTATGTGAGCTGTCCTATTGAATCCTCATTATTGCCGCAAGAGATAAGGACTCTCATCACCGTCATTTTACAGATGAGCAAACTGGGGAGGAGAGGGGTTAAGTAATTTGCCCATGGTCAGACACACAGTAAGTAGAGAAGCAGGGTTTCAAACCACTCCTGCGCCATGACCTTGGCCACTACATTCTGTACCGCTTGCCTCAAGAAATGTGAAAATAAACAACTAAAAAATCTAATTGGGAAGTAAATTCTCATCAGACATTCAACATTTAAGTATTTGTCAAGTGCTAATACCAAATGCTAATATGGAAGGACAATGTTAATTTTTATCTACATTGATCTATGATTTTTCAGATAAATATCTTGAAACTACATTTTTAAAACCTGTAACTTTTAGTAATTTCTATTCTCTTCTGGGTCTTTATTGGACTTTGATTTCTTTCTTTTTTATTGGGAAGCGTTTCTACGTCATTCTTATCAAACTCAACTATATAAGATTGTCATAAACTAGTGATTTTCTTCTCATTACATCTGAAACGCAGACAGTGAGAAGAAGCAAGACAACTACAATCTTTGTTTTTATATTTTATTTAACTATATTTGCCAAGATACTTGCAAAGCCTGTGGAGGTCTAGGAACAGCATCTCCAGTCACCAATGTTTCTTTTCTTGCGCTTCAATCTCTAGTGATTGATCAGGGGCCTCCAAGTAGCAAGTTCTTCTTTGTTTGGGGAAGGGATCAGTGAACAATGTAACTCATTCCTGACATTTCAGTTAACAACTTTGAAAGAAAAGGTTTTTAAAATCCAATGAAACTCCTAAAAAATAATTGACTTTGCTTCTGCCCCCATGTTCTCCTCCAAAGAATCACACCTGAAAGTTTCCAATGATTCCACCAGCGAATTTCCCTCCTGTTTTAATTAACATTGTAGGGTGGAGGTCCTATATGCTGGAGACTTTTATATCTGTGTTTGATGTTACAACAAATAGAATTTGAAAATATATATATATTTTTTTTGAGACGGAGTCTTGCTCTGTTACCAGGCTGGAGCACAGTGGCACAGTCTTGGCTCACTGCAACCTCCGCTTCCTGGGTTCAAGCAATTCTTCTGCCTCAGCCTCTCAAATAGCGGGGACTACAGGCGGGTGCCAAATGCCTGGCTAATTTTTGTATTTTTAGTAGAGCTAGGGCTTCTCCATGTTGACCAGGCTGGTCTTGAACTCCTGACCTCAGGTGATCCATCTGCTTTGGCCTCCCAAAGTGCTGGGATTACAGGCATGAGCCACTTTGCCCAGCCAGATTCAATGCACTCTCTATTAACATACCATTGGCATTCTTCATGCAAATAGCAAAAAATGACCGGGTGCATGGTGGCTCATGTCTGTAATCCCAGCACTTTGGGAGGCCGAGGTGGATGGATCACTTGAGGTCAGGAGTTCAAGAGCAGCCTGGCCAACATGGTGAAACCCTGTCTCTACTAAAAATACAGAAATTAGCCAGGCATGATGGCGTGCCTGCTTGTAGTCCCAGCTACTTGGGAAGCTGAGGTGGGAGAATCACTTGAACCCAGGAGGTGGAGGTTGCAGTGAGCTGAGATTGTGCCACTGCACTCCAGCCTGGGCAACAGGGTGAGACTCCAGTTGCCCCCCCCACCAACCCCCCGTCAAAGAAAAAAGAGAAAGATATATTGTTCAGCATGGTGACTATAATTAATGAAGAAATATATTGAAAAATACAGACTAGTTCGAAGGTAGTGAGTTATCGCAACTGGTTGTTGAGTCAATTGTGAATTGAATTTTTTGTTCTACTCTTTCCCTGCTTCTTACTGCTGCATTTGACTAGTCTTAAAGAGAAGGAAAAAGGAAAAATAAAGAAAAATACATAGAGGACATTCAGTGTTTCCACTACAAAAATGAAAAATAACTGTGAAGTAGTGCTTTTGATGATTCACCAATGAATGTATACTTGAAATGTTATGTTTCAAAAAGCAAAAACACAAAAAAGAAATGTTGTACATGATAAATACATATAGTTTTTTTCTGTCAGTTTGAAACATTTAGAAATTAAAGAATAGATAATGTGAAACACAAAGCTATTTATTTAGGTAGTTTAAAATTTTTTAGTAGCCAAATTAAAGAACCAACTCAAGAGACTGGTGAAATTAATAATCTTTCTTTCTTTCTTTCTTTCTTTCTTTCTTTCTTTCTTTCTTTCTTTCTTTCTTTTCTTTCTTCTTTTCTTTCTTTCGAGTTTCTTTCTTGTTACCCAGGTTGGAGTGCAATGGCATGATCTCGGCTCACCGCAACCTCCACCTCCTGGATTCAGGCAATTCTCCTGCCTCATCCTCCTGAGTAGCTGGTATTACAGGCACACACCACCATGCCCAGCTAATTTTTTGTATTTTTAGTAGAGACAGGGTTTCACCATGTTGACCAGGATGGTCTTGATCTCTTGACCTAGTGATCTACCCGCCTCGGCCTCCCAAAGTGCTGGGATTACAGGCATGAGCCACCGTGCCTGGCCCAATAATGTTTCTTACTTAACCTAATATCTGTGATGGACTGAATTTGCATTCTTTTCCCTTGCCAAATTCATATGTTGAAACCCTCACACCCAATGCGATAGTTTTAGGATGTGGGTCTTTAGAGAGGTGATTAGGATTAGGTGAGGTCATCAGGGTAGAGTCCTTATGAATGGAATTGGTAACCTTACAAGAGTCACAAGGGAGCTTGATTCCTCTCTCTGCCCTCTCCCATGTGAAGATATGACTTCTGGGCAGTGTGCAGCCCAGAAGAGGGTCCTCACCAGAACCCAACCATGCTGACATCTTGATCTTGGACTTCTGGCTTCTAAAACTGTGAGAAATAACTGTGTGTTGTTATAAACTACTCAGTCTCTGATATGTTGTTAGCAGCCCAATCTAAGACAATATCCAAGGCATTATTCCAACATGTAATCAATATAAAAATTAATCACTTTCATTTTACATCAAGTCTTTGAAATACAGTGTGTATTTTTTCTATTTTTTTTTTCTTTTATGGCTGCCCCCTCACCTGCAGATTGTGGGGGATCCTTATTTTGAGGGCTATTCAGATTGTACCTTAAAGCAGATTTAAAATTTTTTTTAATTGTGGTGAAATATGCATAACATAAAATTTATCATCTTGACTTGTCAATGTATCACATTTGGTCTTAGCCAAAAGGCTGAGAAGCAATAGACTTTTAAATGTATCAGTGGTATTAAGTTCATTCATAGTTTTGTGTAACCATCATTATTCATCTCCAGAACTCTTCATTTTATAACCTCAAACTCCGTACCCATTAAATAACAGTAACTCCTCACTCTCCCTTCCCTCAGGCAACCACCATTCTGCTTTCAATGTGGTGTGTATTTTATCCTTACATCACATCTTAGTCAAGGCTAGCAATGCTCACTCAATAGCCGCATGTGGCTAGTGTTGGACAGCGTTGGTCTAAAAGATGCACAGGTTTAGGGAAGACATAATTAGTTTGTCCTGTATAGGCTTCTTCTATTATAGTTTTGGTCAACATCACTGGAAGGGCAGAAATCATATCATCCAGGGTTTGGACCTAACCACACCTTATCTGTTCTCTTGGCTGCAGGTTAAGTAGAGAGCATGCTCATAAGCACATGATTCTGACACCTCTCTCCCCACTAGGGGCATTCGGTCAGGGACCCTTTAGCAAACAACTGCCTGTAACAATGGTGAAGGAAAGGAACTGGGGGCAGAAGTGTATTAAGAAAATTTCAGAATGTTCAAACGGGGGAAAAACGGGAAACTTCTACTTTTATGATCAGAAATCCTCAAGGGAAAGATGGTTCAGAAAGGTTGGGAAGCTCTAAAGTGTAAGAATCAGACAACACAGTCACCAGTGATTCCAGTGAAGAAAATGAGAAGTAGCTCATGAAATTTATATGATGCCTAAGGCTGATTTGACCATTTTGGTTCCAAAATGATAAATATAGAAGGGTACTGCATTAGTCTTCTGGGGCTACTGTAGCAAAATACCACAGAATGTGTGGTTTAAACAGAAATTTATTTTCTTGCAGTTCTGGAGGATGGAAATCCAATATCCAGGCTAGTTTGATTTCTGGTGAGGGCTCTCTTCTTGGCTTGCAGACAGCAGCCTTCTTCCTGTTTCCACATTTGACCTCTTTTTGCATGCCTTGTAGAAGAGAATGTGAGCACGTTCTCTGCTTTATCTTCTTTTAAAATTTATTTTTATATTTTGTGATGATGGGGTCTCAGTATGTTGCCCAGGCTGATCTCAAACTCCAAGACATAAGTGATCCGCTGGCCTTAGCTTCCCAAAGTGTTGGGGTTACAGGTGTGAACTGCTGTGCTCAGCCTGCTGTCTCTTTTTATAGGGGCACTACTTTTATCATACCAGCAACGAACCCATATGACCTCATCTGACCTCCCGGTCCTCATCTCCAAATGCCTTCACATTGTGGGGTTTAGGCTTTTAACAGAAGAATTTTGTGGGGCCAAGATTTAGTCCCATTGCACTACAGATGAATAGCGTGAACCCATATGAGTGTTAGGAAGCAAATTATGATCCTCAAGGAACTGAGGCTTGGAAAAATTACAAAGGAAAACACAAAAGGCTTCTTCCTTTACATTCAGTACAAGGAGAGGACAAAAACAGGTTGCATTAAAAAAATTAATGACCTTGAAAGCCTTGGCAAGCTCTGGAAGCCTGGCAACTTGGGCTGAAAATCCAGGTCTAATACCTTTGCTATAACATAATACCACCTCCTCATAGGGTTCCATGTTTCAGAGATAGAAGGCTAAGTCATCCTGTGTTTCTGAATTAGTTGCTATGTAAAATTTATTCACTAACATGAGTCTGTTAACTGAGAAGTTAAAGTAGCATGTTTATTTTTATAAACTCCTGTCCTCGGGGCCCTTGGCTTGGCTCACTGTTTAGCATTGTATCTACCTGGCTCATGCCAGGAACATGGCAGTGGTTCTTGATTTTCCTTTTCTTCTTTCCTCCTAAGTTGAATCCATCTCTGAAGCATCTCAAATCTGTCCATTATTTTTTCACCATCTCTTCTGTCGAGGTCAGATGCTCGTTAAGTCTGTTGATTCTACTACTTTTTTTAATTTTTTTTTTTTTTTTTTTTGATACAGAGTCTCACTTTGTCTCCAGGCTGGAGTGCAGTGGTGCAATCTCAGCTCACTGCAACATTTGACTCCCTGGTTCAATCTGTTCTCCTGCCTCAGCCTCCTGAGTAGCTGGGATTACAGCCATCTGCCACCATGCCCAGCTAATTTTTGTATTTTTAGTAGAGACCATGTTGGCCAGGCTGATCTTGAACTCCTGACTTCCAGTGATCCACCCACCTCTGCCTCCCAAAGTGCTGGGATTACATGTGAGCCACCATGCCTGGCCAACACTACTACTTTTATAGCTTAAATTTCTATTTTCAAGTCTTATTGAAAGGAAATATGCAATTTAAGAATTTTAACATTTACTATCTGCAGTACTTCCTGCAAATGCTTTCTAAAACCTTTCTAATATGTGTTCTGTAAAACTCTTTCTTTCATATCCATTATTGACTTCTGCAGATCCACATCTTCATTTGAATATTGAGGAATCAAACCAAGAGTTTATGGTGAAAAGTGAAGAACTCTGCGACTCCCTCATGAATTGCCACTGGCAGCCGCTGGATACAGTTGACTCAGAAATTCCAGATGACACCCCAAAGTGAAGCAAGATGTTCATTAAGCTCCCCAGTTATCATATTAATTGTGTCTTCTTTTGTTTAGGGAAAAAAGTAGTTCTCCCAGGAAGGTACTGGATTCTGTATATGAAAACTAGCATCCAGGGCTTCCGTGTGATTGACATAAGAGAACATTAATGTAAATAAACTTCACCAGCACATCTGTTCCTGGAAGTGTGTTATATTAGTTAAGTTTCAGAAGAGCTCATGTGGTGATCATGGTAGAACAAGCTGTGCTACAAAACCCTCGGAAAATAGGTTTAATATGAGGTGGGTTTGAGCTGAACTGATTATGGCATTGCCTACTATGATATGATTTGCTGCTTTCTGTAACTTCAAACTCTCTTAGAAATTATATCCATAGGCAATGTAAGGTTCCTTGCTTCTGTCTTGTCTAGAAAATGTTAGTTAGAACTGGATGCTTGATCTCCATTTCCTGGCCCCATGAGAGAGAGCTAGAGGTGGTGGTAAAGACTCAATTGAACAGAAAGATTCCTAAGCATCAGGCTGGGCGTGGTGGCTCACACCTGTAATTCCAGCACTTTGGGAGGCTGAGGTGGGAGGATCAGCTGAGGTTGGGAGATCGATATCAGCCTGACCGACATGGAAAAACCCTGTCTTTACTAAAAATACAAAAATTAGCTGGGTATGGTGGCACATGCCTATAATCCCAACTACTCAGGGGGCTGGGGCAGGAGAATCGCTTGAACCCAGGAGGTAGAGGTTGAAATGAGCTGAGATTGTACCATGGCACACCAGCTTGGGCAACAAAGTGAAATTCTGTCTCAAAAACAACAAAAACAAATCAACAACAAAAAAGCATGGAAAAGGTTTGCTTGATCCAAACAACCTGTCAACTTTTTAAGATAGAGGAATTAGGCCCTCACAAAAGCCAGCCAATGTGTATATTGACTGTGTTCCTTATAAGATTTTTTTTTTTTTTTTTGTCCTGAAATAATCATTGTGTCCTGATACTTAAGTGACCCCAGGGACTGATCTGACTGAGTTGACCACTAGAAGGCTGATTGCTTAGAAGGAAGTTGATCAGACTGTGGGCAAAGGCAATCTGACATCTCTTCTGCTCTGAAGGTGCTTGACAGATGCTAATCCTTGCGTTAACCAGGTTCAAAGACCTGAAACCTGGGTGGAGAGCCAGGTGGGCTGAAGCCACTGTAAAGAAGCTTCTTCTGCCCCGTGGTTTCTCAACCTTGGCACTATTGCCATTTGGGGCTGGACGCATCTTTGCTGTGGGAGACTGTCTTGCACGTTGTCCTGACCTCTACTGCTAGATGCCAGAGGCACCCTGCCCTCCAGTGGTGACAACCAAAATGTCTCTAGACATTGCCAAATGTTCCCTAGGGACAAAATTGTCCCCCCCCCCCCACACACACACAATTGAAAACCACTGGAATAGGGCAATGTTTTCAAACTAGGGTGTATCAGAATCTCCTAGAAGGCTTGTTGAAACACAGATTCTTGTGCACCATCCTGAGTTTGATTCAATAAGTTTTGGGTGGAACCTGACGATTTTCAACTCTCTAAAAAGTTTCTGGATAACAACACTCTGAAAACCACTGGCACAGGGATATTCTCAACTAGTTCAGCTTACTTCTACCTAGAACAGAGGGTGAAGTTCTGCTTTCACTCTTCCCTCCTTAATACAAGCTGTGCAAGTCCCTACTTTCCTGCAAGGCCTGGCTTCATCAGCCTTCCTCCTCTAGCCATATGTTTTGGGGACCAGCACTATATTCGGCTCCAGGGAATGGCTCTCATAGCATCTGAGTCATGTGTAGTAATCCCATTCTTGTTGCCAGTGATCAGTGAAGACATCTGATAAAATTCTGGCTAACAAGATGTGAGGTGATGTTTTATCTCATTTTTAAAAGGAGGAACAAAAAAAGAGACAGCTGCGGTCTCGTACGGAGCATTAGTTTTAGATGTGATGCCTGGTACTGTGGCAGACATATTGTGACTATCAGGAAAACAATCTTAGGGTAGTGCTGATGCACCTGGGATGGCAGTGAAGGATGATGGAAAGACCCTGGATCCATGATAATGGCTTTGAAGCTGTTGAATTAGCCAACCCTGGATTCTCTCTTATCTGGACTTAGGTGTAATCCACTCTGAATTTTTGTTATTTCTAGCAAAGTATCCTGACTATAGCATGGATAGATACAGATAGCATGTGTGTAGAGCTGTGCTGTCTGATATCACAGCCACTAGCCACATATGGCTATTGAATTTCTATTTAAGCAAAATTAAAACTTTGCTTTTCCTTTTGCACTAGGTAAGTTGCAAGCGTTCAGTAGCCACACGTTGCTAGGGGCTACCGTATTGCGTAGCACTGGTCTTACCTATAAGACCTGTAAGACCAGTGCTACGCAATACGGTAGCCCCTAGCAACATGGTAGCCCTGAGATTAGGTTAGGTGGATTCTCAATTTTTCTTCACACTCTTTTTTTAATTGTTCCCCCTCTATAAGATTTTAATTCCATATTTATTATATATGCTCTATGCCTGTTCCTTACACATTGGAAAAAGTAAGACTTATCCCCTCTCTATTCCTCCAGAACCAATTTTCACCTCCTTGGAGGTTGATACTGTTTCCTGTTGCAAATACATGGCTAGTGTGGTAGTCATAAGTAAGTTTAGGCAGGGATTTTAGGTCACTGTAAAGAATTTGGATTTTATTAAAATTAGGAGACAATGAAAGAATTTTAAGCATAGGATTGGCATGGTCAGTTTTGCCTTTAGAAAGTTACTTGAAAGGCAGAGGGGCCAAGATAGCTGATTAGAAGCAGCTGCAGTGCTCATGGAGAGGAATGAAAGTGGCGAGTGAATTTAGCACCTTCAACTTAAATATCCAGGTTCTTGCATTGGGACTGATTAGGAAAACAACTTGACCCACAGAGAACAAAGAAAAGGGTGGGGTGATGACCCAATTGGGAACATCTGCTCCCAGCCAAGGGAAGTGGTGAGTGTGAGTGGTGCAACCCCACTCATGAAACCACACTTCCCCCATGGATCTTTGCAACCTGCAGATCAGGAGATCCCCTTGTGAGCTCATACCACCAGGAGCCTTTTAAACATATGAATGTATGCTGATGCTTTCATTTTGTCCTGAGCTCCCTCATCACACCCTAAATCCAGATCTTCTTAATCAAGCTTCATCAAGTTCTGCATGCCATGTTATATGCTGCCCTACCAAACTGAGTTTAACAATGCTGCCCCAAACCTTAGAATCATTATCTAACTGCTAACTTCTATTCATTCTCGTCAAGCCTTATTGTGTGATGCTATGCCCCTTACGGACATACACACTGTATGTCATTCATTCTAAAATTCTACTAAATGTAAGTTCCATAATTTCTTGTACCACTAAGAAATATAAAACCTTGCCAATTAAACTATGACAATACTTTGTTTAACCACTTATAATTTTTATTTTAAAAATTTATAGGGGCCCTTTTAGACCAGGGATTTGCAAACTATAGCTCATGGTCCAAATCCAACCACCTTGGATTTAAATAATGCTTAATGAGAGGTAGCCAAGCTCACTGGTTTCCCTTTTGGCTGCTTTTGCACTACAATGGGAGAGGCGAATTGCTGGGACAAAGATAGGATGGCCTTCAGAGGCAGAACTATTTATCTGGCCAACCCCTGCTCTTGCTTCATTTAGACACTTTTTAAAAAAAATCACACTGACCAGGCCAAATGGTTCACACCTGTCATCCCAGCACTTTGGGTGGCCAAGGTAGGCAGACTGCCTGAGCTCAGGAGTTCAAAACCAGCCTGGGCAACATGGCAAAACCCTGTCTTTGCTAAAAATACAAAAAATTAGCTGGGTGTGGTGGCAGTGCCTGTAGTCCCAGCTACTCGGGAGGAGAGGCAGGAGAATCACTTGAACCCAGGAGGCGGAGGTTGCAGTGAGCCGAGATTACACCACTGCACTCCAGCCTGGGTGACAGAGCAAGACTCTGTCTCAAAAATAATAAATGAAAATTAAAAATCAAATTTATTTTATTTACACACAAGATTGTTATAAATGAAATAAACTGGTCATTTCTTTACAATGAATATGCAAGAAAATACGGATTTGTGGTCATTTCTCTAAAAACAAATATGGGCTCCACTAAACTCAAATTTTGGCTCTGCTGATTTGTTTTCTGTACCCTTTTCACTGCCAAATCATCATGTCATCTTTTTGAAAATATTTTAAATAGGATCAGCAATAAAGACTGGGCTTCTCATTTGGGATCACTGCTAGGGCTGAATCCTCTGACAGTTCTGTAGGTTAGAAAAAAACATTTTTTCCTATACCCTTCGGAGTTTTTAGTGCCCTCCCCCACCATAATGGAAAACATTAACGAGAGAAAAGCTGACATTTATTAACATGTGTACATACCCAGACCCAGAAGATACCCAGGGAAAAATGAGTGACTCTCATAGAGGTGGCTTAGAACTCAGGCTTTAACACCTGTGACCTTCATCTCAAAGGAGATTGAGGGAGGCAAGTTATGGAGAGGTGACTAGGAAAAGCACAGTAAACACGGGTAAGGTTTATCACGCAAATTTAAAAATCAGTCCCTTCTCTATTGATGAGCATCTTTATTGATTTAATGGACAGTTCAGTGGCATTAAGTATATTCATGTTGTTGGCTACCATCACCACCATCCATCTCCAGAATTTTTCATCTTTCCAAACTGAAACTTTGTACCCATTGAATAATAACTCCCCATTCCCCTTCTCCTCCCATCTTCTCGCAGCCACCATTCTGTCTCTATAGATTTGTTTATTCTGGACATTTCATATAAATGGAACCATATAATATGTGATCTTTAATGTCTGGCTTATTGCACGTAACAATGTTTTCAAGGTTCATCCATGTCGTGGCATGTGTCAGAATTCTTTTTCAGGATGGATCATATTCTATCGAATGTATGTGCACCACCTTCTGTTTATCCATTTGTCCGTTTGGGTTGCTTCCACCTTTTGGCTATTGTGAATAATGCTGCTATAAATACATTAGGTTTTCAAAGCAAGTTAGGTTTTAAGGCAAAGTAATGGCTGAGGGTTACATTCTGTTAGCAGATCATCTTTTATAAACAGGCTCAAGCCCCAGGAAGACAGTGTTCCACTGGCTGCTTCTTGGAGGCCAATTCTTCCATTAAGAGGTGAGACTAATTTTCACAAAGCTCTCAAAATTCAAAGAGCTTGGTTAAACCTTTTCCCCAGAATACTAAGGCTCGTGGCTCTATACTTACATAAGTGTTCAATCATTTAGTGGTTCTTGGCACAGCAAGAAAGAACTATTCTGCTTTAAGGTGACTTTCTGTTCTTACTTACATATCAAACAGCTGACAGCCTAGCTAGGCAACATGGCGAGACCCCATCTCTACAAAAAAGTACAAAAAAAATTAGCAGGGCATGATGGCATGCACCTGTAGTTCCAGCTACTTGGGGACTGAGGTGGGAGGATGGCTTGAGCCCAGGAGGTCAAGGTTGCAGTGAGCTGAGGTCATGCCACTGCACTGTAGCCTGGGTGACAAAGTGAGCCCCTGCCTTAAAAACAAACAAACAAAAAAGCTGGATCCCTCTTTCAATAAGGAAGACTGGGAAAACCACTAATTTCTGAAGGAACACTCCTTAATTAGGGCATTTTACAATACACATAACGTAATATTTAAGACTGATTAGAATGGGTTAGAGTAGGAGTTACATGAGGAGTTAAGAAACAGCCACTCATGGCTAAGGTGCCAACTGCAGTCAGTTGAACTTTCACGCCTTCCATGTTCACAGTGACCTGGGATGTTCTTCCCGCTGGCTCACAGGTGGTCCCCAGGTCTGCCACGTGTCCCAGGCAAGACCCCTGAGGAAAGTAGGACACATATTCCAAAATAAGAGTTATTAGTTTTTTTTATTGTTGATATTTTATATTTTCTTTGAAGTAGCTTTTACTCTTGAAGCAAATACCAGTCTGGTTCCACAGGGACTTCACTCTGGTTCAGAGTTTTCTCTCAAATCCTCAGTTCTAGGCATTCCACAGTAAGTGGGTAGGTCTCCAACTTTAACTTGTTAGCGAACATGCTAGAAGATTTATACAGCCACTTTAAATCCCCAGGGCCATAGACGCACATATCTCGCCAATAGTGGCCTGTAAGTCAACAAGAAGACAAAGTAAAACAATCACCAAAACTAAGACATCTTGC